GTGAGTTGGCTGACTGAAATGTGTTTGTAGTCAAAATGACAACAAATGTATTTATTATATATCATATGTGAATAAACAGGCAATGTAACAGAGCTATTTTTTTAATCATAATAATGACCTATTATCACGACTGAGTTTATTTCCCACAATCTACCTCCTGAGCTCAACATGTTAATTATTAACCACTCAACAATTAACCTTAACCTCAACCATACCTTAACCAAAGTTCAAATGTGCAGATATTGTAGAAATCATTCAATGATAAAACCAATAATGCATCAAAAACATTGTAATTAAAAATAGAATAATGCCCAAGGCCCAAGAATAAATCTGAGTATTAATTTATCTTTTTGTTGAATTCAATTACAATTTTTATTTCATAAACATACATAGAAAATATGTCTGTGCTGTGTGTTGAGTCACTTATCGTTTCATGTGCATGTCACCGCAGCAACTGCGCTTTCCATGGTACTTACTGTCTACTGTCACAGATACAGATTAAAGGACATTAAAGGACATTAATCTCACCTAAGGCAATAAAATGGCCCTTGTTATCTTTGAGCTTGGAAGTTTATTGTCTAGATGTTCATGATCAGTCAGTGTAGAGCTACACAAATCTCCAGTTGGCCCGGAGAACTTTGAAAAGTCTGAATAGACATTTTTACTGTGGCAAAATATGAGATAGTGAAAATATCACACAGTGTCTGTGCAGAGCCTGCAGATGAGTGACTTCTGTACTGAGTAGGTTCATGGTTATACAAGTGTAACAGGTGCACTTTGGTCTGTTTTGAAAGTAGAACAGCAGTGCTGGAAATGACCAGATGTAACTGGAGTGACCCTACCACTGATGATCCACATTGTCAACCACACACAAACAAAAAGAGATTTTTTTATCTATATGTCTTTCTATACCAGTAGCTCCCATTTCAAGTGTGCATATATATATATATATACACATACAGTATATCAGTAGTTGCATGAGAATGTGTGAATGCTATGAAACTATATTATTCTAAAATCAAGATTCAAGTTTGTTTCTGTTCTGTTCTGTGTGCGAGTCCTCCCTTGCTTTGAACCAATGAATATACACTTGTCACAAACAACTAGATTTATTTGTTTGCTCTGATAGTGAACTACCGTTTTGATGAATTAATAAAGCAGTTTTTCCTAAAATCGCATCATTTTTCATGCTGTAATGTTTTGTTTTTTTCCATCTTTGGACAGATGAATATAATCCAGCTGTCAGCTAACATAAAAAGGCTTTTCAACTCTTATTCTTCCATCCATTCTTTACCGTTATCTCCATCCCAAATACTGCTGCTACAGTACAGTTCCATCTAAAAACTTTTAGGAAATTTGTTTTTAGTTTTATGTTATTTCTAGTTTGTTTTATTGTGGAATTACTTTTACTGGAGAATGTCTACCACTGTCAGTTTTAGTGTAGAATATAGTAGTGTACAGTTATCTGAATCAGAAACAGAAATACTTTATTGATCTCCAGTGGCAAACTGGGTTACATTACAGTTGTTAAAAAAAAGAGAAAATAAGAATAAGATATATTTAAAAATATATGCATTATACTACAGTTTATAAAAATATATAAAAAACTGAAAATAAGAATAAGAAGTAGAACAAATATGTGCATTATACTACAGTATCACTAAAGTTACTGTCAGTTACAATGGCTGCCAGTTAGTGACTGTGTATATGTGGAAAAATAGAAAATAAGAATACCGCTATATATATAATAAATATATAACAATTTGCATATAAAAAATAAGAAATGAAAACATAGGTATACACTACAATATATAACAGTGAAATAAATAACACTATTACTACTACTACTTATAATAATAATAATAATAATAATAATAATACCACCAATAACAATAATAATATTAATGCTGAGAAATGTCTCTATGATTAAGTGTGCTAATACCAGAATAACATTATACAGTATGATTGCAGTAAAGTCCAGTAAAAACCCAGCAACAGGCGACAAAGACAACACATACAGTGGAAAGGTAAAGTTAAAGTAACTGCGTGGCTACGCTATAAAATGGGGGCGGAGTCACTCTTTCTTTTGAGTACTTTTGCCCTACAATTAGACTATCAGGCACTCGTGTCCTAGCCTGCCCTTTACAAATCCCTTTCTCACCCCCCTAACCCGACACTGGCCCCGGTCCTGATTAGAACACGTCCAGTCTAAACTTAAACAGCGAATATGTGAAGCTCGCTCCGTGTTGCGCACGTTCTGCGGCCCTGGCGGGCAACACTCAGGGCCCAAACAGCCCATAGCGTTTCTCCGGTCCTCCTCCACTGAATGGGCGTATCTGTGTCCGCGTATTGATAAGAAGTGAAATGAATGTGCATGGTGTAGTTCAGAGCTCAATTTAGCGGACATGTCGAGTAAAGCGGAGTATGACTGCATAGTAATCGGGGCCGGAGTCCAGGGCTCCTTCACGGCCTATCAGCTGGCAAAGAAGAACAGGAAGACTCTTCTGCTGGAGCAGGTGTGTCATACAAAACTTTGTTCCATGGGATCTGTTATTTACCGTTAAGACTGCAGAAGATACACCAGTACTCAGACATAGTCGGGGGTGGAATTAGATTGAAGTTCTTGCAGGTACTTCTGAACCTTCATTGCTGTCCTCCTCTCGCCCCAAGCTTCATTCTATGGAAGCCCATTTCCGCCAATGTGACGGGAAAAAATTCTGTAACTCAAAATTATGTAATAATATATGTATTTATAACATAATAATGAGAAACTCAATATTTTGACTTTACATCTCAAAATAATGACATTGTCAATGATAAGTCATTATTTTGAGATACTAAGTTATTATTTCGAGATGCCAAGTCAATATTTTGACTTTTCAAGTAAGTAAAGCCTTATTTATATAGCATCTTTTTGACACAGAGATC